AACCGTGCAGAGAAGAAAATCTCCACGGGGGATGAGCTGCTGCCCCTTGGGGGGGCTTAGACGTCATCACAAACCCCCCTGCCCCCAAACACCCTGCGTCAGAGAATCACACACCCACCCCCGGCTGCTCCCACTCAACAACTGCACCCTAGGATCGAACCCCGGAATTCTGGCCCCCCGGGCACCAGCCCCTGCGGCACCAGCTAGAAGAGCTGCCCCTGTGCTGGGCACGTCGGGCTCCCCACGGAGCAGCCCCTAGAGGGCGCTGGGGTCCCACTCACTGGCCCAGCCTGGCCAGTCTCTGCCCGGAGCTGTCAGGGGAGAGCAAGGATGCTTCGTCTGGCCCGGGCACTGGAATAATGATACTTAATGCCCCTGAGGGTCTGTCCCCCTCCTCTCTCTGCAGGGGGGTCCCCCAGCCCCTTTTCTCTCCCCCCTTTCTCCCTAGACCTCCCCCACCCTGTATTTCTATTGTACAAACCCCCAGAGCTTCCTTCTCCCTGCCCCCCAAATCTCCCCGGCCTGGGGGGGGCCATGATAATGGAGCCTCCAAATGTCCCCTCATTGTGGGTGCAGCCGAGGAAGGTGAGTGAGAAGTTCAGGCAGCATCACCAGGACCTGGACGAATGAACGTTGGGGGGAAAGTTGGGGAGATAGAAAGACGGGATTAGTCCAACCTGAGTGGCCGCCGGACAGAACCCACGGGCCAGGCTGGGGCCCACCTGGGACCCGAGAGAAGTGGGAGAGCAGAAATCCGTGACCCAAAATTGGGGTGATGGAAACGAGGCCTCATGGGTGGACAAAACATCGAGGAGATGGGCTGTGCCACCCACCATCCCTTTTGGGGTGTGTTTAGGGCCCTTCGTTTTGGGGTTTTATTTTATTTAACATTTCCCAGGCATTTGTTGGTATTTATTACCACAACAACATAAATGGATGAAAATCGGTGCAAAAACTATTCATAATTTTTCTGGGTAAATGTCAGAGTTTATTTTGGTGGATGGAAGGACAGGGGAAACAGTATTCAGTAGATTAATGCTTTGATTAATAGAATTCAATGTGAACTGCAGAACTAAACCAGAACTCAAAACACAATGCCACCTCGGAGTTTAAGAGAACAATAGATCTCTAATCCCCCAATAAAACTTTTCATTTGAATAAACAGTTTACTGTTGTAGAGTTAGAACGATTAGCCTATATCTTCGATGCCACCCCATTTGCAGCACATACCCTCCATTTCATCCTTCCCTCCTGTTTTTTTAAAACTTTTGAATACGTCCTTGTGTCCTGAAACGTGTTCTGAGACAGATTGTCGTTTTCTTCCCATTTTAGTGTCTCAGATCTTTAACCTGTTCTCTGCTAGCAGCTTGAAATGTGTCCGTGGTGGGCGTGTGAGATTCATCGGTATGTTCAGATGCGAACGCACTTCAGAGCTTGCGTGCGCACCTGTTTGGTTATTGGGTGTATCGGCTAATCCATAGCCTTACTTCAACCGGCAGCTCTGCACATCCACACAGACTAATGGCTTAGCGTAATACAGATCTCTCAGGCAATGTGTACTGTATTTTCCTAATAAAACTAGCTACTTTTTATATAGTTGAATGATACAAAAGAAGGGTGAAAATTGGAATAAACCGAATTTTTGTAAAACCCGGGATTTTTGCCGTAAAAATCGGTTTAAATTGAGAACGAAGGGGCTTAGGTGTGTTATACTCACCAGCAGGGTGCCTCCTTGCAGCTACGTCTGGGGATTAACTCATATCCTATCCGACGCCCCCTGGGGTCTCACACTTGCTGTCTACAGCCCGGCTGCTCCCTTTGCATCACTCTGGGTGCCCCCCTCCGTGGCTTGGCCTCTGGCCGGTCTCTCTGGTCCTCTCCATCTGAGGTATCAAACTCCCACTGGGTGACTGGTCCAGGCAGGCTCCTGCTCCTCTGCCGGCTCTGTGCCACTGCCCCCGTGGCTGGTAGGGGAACTGCAGCCTGCCTGCCAATCCAGGGTCCAGCCCAGAGACCTACAACCAGCATCCAACCTTTGTCCCATCCCAAACCTGGGCTGCTTCCGCTCCATCAGGGTCCTTCTCTGCCCTCCTCCGGGGCCCCTTCCCTCGGGGCCGGCACCCAGGGGGTTTGTTCTCCCCGATTTCCTCCCTCCCTCTCTAGACCTGGAGACCTTCACCCACCAACCCCTGTCTAGCTCCTGCTTTTCCAGCAGCTCAGCCTGCCCCGTGCCCAGCCCGGCATCACCATCAATTCAGAGCTGATCAGCCCCGACTCCCCCCAGGTGCCGCCTGCCACGAGGTTCATGGGCCCTTTCTCTGGACTTGGGTCCTTAAAGAGATGGGAGGGGGGAAATTGGCTTCATCGTCATGGCTGTCACCCCCTGTACCCTGGCCCCTCTGGGCCGTCCAGACCTGCTCCATGGAGACATCCTGAGCTGAGCAGCTGGAGAGAGGGACCCCGACACCATGACCCCTCCCCCAGCCGAACCCCCAACCCGGGAGGAAACGGGGTCGGACTTTAACAGCAGCCGCGGTGACGCCGGCTCCAGCCCAGCTCCACCGGCTCCTCTGCCCTCCCAGGACAGTCGCTAGCATCTCTGAGGTCAGTGGGGAGACACCCAAACCTGGGGCTGGGGCCAGGGCTGGAACAAACCCCACGTTTCACACAGCGCCTGCCACGGCTCCCCTGGTTCCTGCTCTGCTGGGTCTGTAACAGCCGGTCCCAGGGGTCAATGGGGGGTTTGCCATGGGGCTGAGCAGGTTGCGGGCTCTGGACCCTGCCCCTGGCCTGTGTTTAACCCTGTTCAGTGTAGGGCAGGGGCTGGGGCATGTTCACACCTTGGGCCCTTTATTGCGTCTCCATGAACACAACAGGGTGCAGAGGGATTTAGCCCCTGATGCTTCTGAGCCCCCCCATGGCGGATGTTTGGGGGGAACTGGATGGGGGGGAGCCGGAAGTTTGAGGGAAATAGGTTGGGGGTGTTGTGAGTGGGGCTGAGGGGAGAGGGGCCAGGATGGAGTTTGAGAGCAACCAGGCTCCCCTGTTCAGAAGGTCAGAGCTGGGGGGCAGGATTTTGGGGGGGTGAAGAGCGAGGGGGGAGCCGGTGCCCCCAAGTTCCCTCTGGGCTCCCATTTCTACCCCCAGCAGCCTCCCCTTTCACTGCCCCCTGCTCAGCCCCAACCCCAGCTCCAGCCCCCTCAGCCTCAGAGTCCCCCATTTTTTCGGTCCTCTCAGTCCCTCCCCCACATCCCTCCTGCCCCACCTTCCGTGCCCCATAAGGCCCCCAACCCCACGGTCACACCTCCCTGCCCCTATAGACAGCCCAGTGGGGCAGGATTGTTCCCCACCCCCAGGCTGAGGTGTCGGCCATCTTAGCCGGGGGCAGCATGGCCCCCTGCGAGGGCAGCAAGGGGCAACGGGGCATCCATGTTAACTGAGGGCAGCCAGGTTCCCTTCCCGTTGGGAGCAATGGGAGATGGTGGCCATGGCTAGTAGGGGGCTGACTGTTAGGGGGGACAGGTCAGAGATGCTGGTGGGGTGGGGGGAAGGGACCAGTGGTCTGTGAGGGGACATGGGCCAGGGGGCACAATGTGGGGAGGAGGGGTGTGGGGTGACACAGGCTAATCTGGGAGACTCGGGGGTACAGGCTGGGGGAGGGGTCAGGCCGGGTGGGGAGGTCAGGCCATGGGGGGGAATGACCCTGCTTCGCAATGAATCTGCTGTCCATCTCCCTCCTGCTTGGGGGGCCGGGGGCGAAGGCTCGCAGGGGGCTGGTAAGCAGGGGGGTCGGGGTCCTGGGACGAGGGGGCTGATTGAAGGAGGCTCATTGGGACTCTTTGGCCGGGCAGCTGAAGCACCTTTAATGCAGCCCCGGCCGGGCCCAGAGCTGTGTGTGAGTACCGGAGAGGCAACACCGTGATGGTGATACCAGAAGTCCTGGCCCCAGCGCCACCCCCCGGCTCTAACCACTAGTCCCCACTCCCCTGCCAGAGCCTGGAACAGTCAAACCTTCCTGACCCCCAGCTTCCTCCTGCCCTCTAGGCAATGGCATATAAACAAAGCCTGTGTCACCTCCCTCTCCAGGGGGCCTGGCCACATAACCACTGATAGTGTCTCCTCCAGCTCAGGGGCAGGGTCTCTGCAGGGGCATTAGAAGGTCCCTGGGTCTCTCCCGGCTGGGGACAGGGGATGAAATTTCTCTTACTCCAGTTTTCCCTTAAGCCTGGTTTAATTAATTCACACACTGACAAAAGCCCCATAGAACCAGGCATTACAGTGTAAAGCCATCATCACCACTCAGCTATGGCACAAGGGGCAGCAAACCCAGGTGCTCCCCCATCACGCCCACTCCTCACACAGTGCCACAGCAGGTGTTGCATACAGGCAGGTTTACAGGCTGAGCGGGAAGGCCTCAGAGTCAAACCCTCCAGCACTGGGAAATGCCACAGTTACAATTTCCTGAACAACCTAAACTTTGTCCCCTCGTGCACAGGCACATGCATTACGACACCATCCTTTAATTGCATGATCACGTATTAATTTTACCTACATGGGTCACCAGTGAGGTTTGATTCCAGAAAGTAAGAAAGGACAGGATGGGAGGGTGGAATCAGCATGGAAATCGTGGTCAGGCGAAGATTAAAGACTAGACTCTGTGGTCTCCTGGCTCCCAGCCCGGTGCACCTTCCCCAAGGCTGCAAGGTACATTGAGGGTGACCTGTTCCCCCTCCCCACACGAACAAGCTGCGAGCTGCATCATGAGATTGGCCAGGCTGAAGCTCTCAGGGTTTCCTCAGTTTTGCAGTGACTGCAGCTTACTTTGGCTGCGTTAGATTTCGCCTGCAGATTAAAGACAAGGTGTGATGGACGCAGGAAGAGACAAGACATCATCAACTTCCTCTAGCTGCAGCCACCAGCTGAGTTCCTTATTTGGGGCTCGGTGGAGCTGGGCACTGGGGTGTTGGTGGCAGCGCTGAGGGGCCCCCTCACTGCCCATCATGGTCTCTGCTCTCACCATTCTCTTCCTCGGTGAGTATTGGAGACAGCCAGGGCGTGTGCCCATGGAGGGGATCTGAGACCAAGGCATGTGTCTATGGGGGGGGATCTGAGACCAGGGCGTGTGCCCATGAGGG